AAGAACAAGAACAACAAGAAGAACAAGAACAAGAACGAGAGCAAGGAGAAGAAGAAGAACAAGAGATACTATAAGATATCACTATGTAATACAACATCTGGCGCGCGATAAGAGATGGAACCTTTGACAAATCTCCTTATTGTATTATTCTGATACCGATTTCGTTCTGTTTGAACAGCTGTTTCATTTTCATATTCCACATCTAACATTGAAACACTTTGCTTAACACCTCACAAGCATAAGCCTCTGAAATGTAATATCATTGTCAAGTTCCGGGATTAAAATTTATTAAATTATCTCTAATGCATTGATGTAACGTTAAGCCTTGCTTTTACTCTCAACAAAATGAACAGTCACGTGGGTAGAAACTAACGAATGACCGTGGATATGTTGCTAAGCAACTGAGTAATAATTCTACTCAACTCAAGTTTATATATTATATTGTTTATACAGAGATTTTTGGCTCGCTTCTTAAGCTTGAAAGCAGTTTTTATTTGACAGTGAAATGTTAGAGTTTTGTATGTATTATATGTCATTCGAATACATCTCGTTAAATAGATCTATGAATTCTTATCTATTTATTTACTTAATTTTGTTTTCGAGCTCTTTCTTCTTATTTTTCTTTCCTTCTTTATTTCTTACTCTATCTATTTCTCTTTATTTCCCCCCCCCCTCCCCGAGAATAGCTGATAAACCAAATGAAACTAGAGAAATAAAGCGACTCTAAAGTAGGTAGAACCATAAGATTTATCGGTAAAGCCCTGTGTCAGTAGGCGTGCATTTGAAATCAAAAATTCAGCTACTAACTATCGTAATAAAATATCGATATACTGAGTGTTATAAAGAGACGTGGTTATTAATGTGAAAAGCTTTTCGACAAAGCATATGTGGACAAGCTAGTTGTTCAATGAGTTTGTGAAGTTCCCACTGTATTTAATCAGTCAAAATCTCTCTCTCTCTCTCTCTCTCTCTCTCTTGCTATTCTCTCTTCTCTCAAGCAACAAAGCGTCAGCGCGACTGCTAAGTCGGCTACATATTTGACGAACGAAAAATGTGTTTTCCAGTTTCATTCATCTTAGATAAGGTTTTCACAACTACAAATTAAGTCAGCGAAGTAATTTTTTTGTTATTTTTTAATCCTAACACACAGAAAAGTTATTCATTTTGTCCATTCGTTAATCTTGAAAAATATTTTCAAATATATAAAAAAGAAAATTGTGCTTGCAAGAATTATATGTGTGATTACATTCGAATTCAATGTCCGACAAATTAAATTTATCGTCCCAAAATAGTTTATATATTGCATCAATTATTTCGTTATTTAATTTAGATAAATTATCTTTGTATGGTATTATTTTAAAACTTACCGTCTTAAAGCTTCTTTCAAGTTATGTTGGCGGGATGGTTTGGATAGACGAACGAAAAGGAGAACTGGTAAAAGATAAATGCGCGAAACTGTTTCGCCGTTGGTGCTATTTAAAGACTGAGATCCAAACATTTCTTGTTGCTTTACGCTATTCGATACCTTGTTTACACAAGTCTTAAGCTGTGAAAGTCATTTCAATTATAGGAAATTTAGAATTTAAGAGAAACCGCAGTTGATCGATTGTTGAGAAGGCTTTAAAGTCAACGAGTGTCAAAAGTATGAAATTTTCACAATGTAAATAATAGGACTTAAGTAATTAGTTTTATGGATTAAGAAACTTTGAAGAGAATGCGAAAATAGTCACTTTTTCAAAATGTAACATGGTTGATATTGATAATAATAATAATAATAATAATGATGATGATGATGATAATAATAATAATGATATCTAAATAACAGTCCAATAATAATAATTTGAGAATAGCCCAATGAT